TTCATGTCATTTCACAATATGCAACGAGATAACCTGAGTTCCCTACAAGCTGTCCTGAAATTCTTCAAAAGGATGAAAGGTTAGTGTTTAATGTGTCAAATAAGACTAACAAAATGCTCTTAAAGCACCAAATGTGAACTTAAAAAAAAAAACAGCAAAAAAAAAAAACAAGTGCCATTAAGGTCCCTGTGACATTCTGGATGCTGAATCACACACAGAGGGGCGGGAGAAAGGAGACAAATGAGGAAACTCAGGAACGTGGAACTGCTCTCAATGGTGTCATTCACAGAGCCCGAGTTCATCAATGACACGGTTCCCACACTCACTGGAGCAGAGGAGAATTGGACACAGAGCAGCAGAAGGCTGACGGAGCATGAATGAGAATGAGTAAGAGAAGAAAAAGTTCTGTGATCCAACAGCCTCAACACTAGCCGTTTCAGAGCAGGACTCCATCCTCCCGCTTCCCTCACACCACGCACTATGCTGCCGTTTAGTTACTTTGAGGTCTCAACCCACTTAACTCGGCAGAGACAATCACCACTGTAAAATGCATGTAAATCATGAACAAAAACTATCAGTAATACCTTTAAGTACTATTAACTATTAAAACAATGGTGCTAAGAATTATTTTTTTTCCTTGTTATCATCATCAGATTCTCTTTCTTCGGGCTCCAAATGAGTTTATAACAGTCTTGAAACATACAAAATGTGTAGTATTAATATTTGATTTATAATGACTTTAGAATGTAAATGATTTTATACTGACTTCAACATGTAAAGAAAGCAGGATCTAAAATTTGAACATAATTTTACAGAGACTGTGAGAAAAAAGATAAATCACCGTGGCACCAGACTTGTGGAGGGTGCAATGCCCTGCCTTCAATGCCAGTATCCACAGTGGGTGCCAGTTCATGTCCAATCTGCTCCACCTCCAATCATGCTTCCTGCTAACGCCCTGAGACAAGCAGCAGGAATGGCTCCAGTGCTTGGGTCCCTACTACACACATGGAGTCCTGGAGGAAGCATCTAGGTTAGTTCTGGCCCAGCCCTCGCCCGCCGCTATAGCCATTTGGAGAGTAAACCAGCAGACAGGAGATCTGGGTCTCTCTCCCTCTCTAACTCTTTAAAATAAATAAATAAGTCTTTGGGGAGGGAGGGGTTCAGCTTGGGCTAGACTGTAGCACCTGATGTCACACATGAGAGACAGGTCTTGGGGTAGGCCCAGAAGGGGATCTCAGGGTCTCCCCAACTAGGCTGCAGCACCAACTAGTACAAGAAAGAGCTGGGTTTGAGGGTAGACCAGGCTATGCCAGAGTACTCATTTGTACTCATGAGAGCTGGGGCTATGAGGTGGACTAGCTCAGGCCAGACCACAGCACTTGCTGGTGTCCATGAGAGCCAGGTCTGGGGAACAGCCCAGTAAGGACTCTTCAGAGTCCTTGCAAAAGGCCCACTCCACCCGATCCCCAAGCCGAAGGAACATCTCATGGATGTATGTTCTAGCCTCAGAGCACAGGCTCTGGGCCTGGGCCACCTCCATCACTGCCTTTGGCAATACCCTCAGAATATTCTTCCCACTGTGGTCCCTGGAATTACATCAGGAGACCACTCTGTCCCCTGGTGCTGGTGCAATCTGGCAGCAAGGAACAGTGCAACATCTCCCTGCCCTGTGGTCACAGGAGCAAAGACAGGGATTTTTTTCCTCACCCCTCCACCCACCACGCCTCTCCTCTCCATCCTACTTGAAGACCTTCATGGGTCTGCATTTCTCTCACCTACGAAGCAAATATTTTTTTAAAAATTTTTTTAAATAATTTTTTAAAGAAATCACCATGTCTGATGTAATATTAGAGCCAGTCAAGACTCCCATCTGTCTCATCACCAGGCTACATGGCTGGAGAACAGGATGGAGCAGATATCTTTCCTTGCCATGGCCCAACTCAGTCAAGGGCTAAGGAAAGGCATACAAACACAACTAGCACAACAAGACTGTGCTACCTCCACCTGCTTCTCCAGAATTCACGGAGAGATCAAGAAGCCCGACAGTGGCCGGGAACGCTCTTCGACAAGACAAGCCTGCGGCCCTCCAGGAAGCACAGTATTTGTTTTGGCTGGAAGACTTTCCAGGGAACAGAAAATGGCCCAGACAAAAAGATGACATGTATGGACAGGAAGGAAGGCTGCGCTGCCAACACTTCAGCCCAGACAAGGATAGGAAAATAATGAGATAGACCTGCAGCTGCCCTCTATTAATTCTTGAATTTAAGCAAAGGCAGGAATTCATACTCATTGCGCAGACTCTTTTTCCTCCTAACAATTTGCTCTTTATAATGTCATCTGGCCTAGGAAAGAAAAACCTTTTGTCTAGGTTACCACAGGTATAATGTTGTCTGCTGGAGAGAACAAGCGATGACCTTCTAGGGCCCTTCAAAGACCAATGATTCACATTCCATGGAAAATATTGAGAAATATTCCATTGGAAATGAATCTGCTTTCACAGCATATTGTAAGTTTCCTGTGTTTTTCCTCCTTCATTATCACCAAGGACATTCCTATGAAAACAATCTTTTCTCCCAGAGTAACCATATTCTTCAATATTAACCTGCTTTTAATAGTATCATAATGAACTGGGGTCCTTCTCATATCACCATGTTCTACAGTGAAAATTACCATACTAACAAAGTCATTTATAAGCAAGTGGATTGGCCTCATACAGTGTGACATCAGAGTTTCCAGAAGGCACCACAACAACTCTGCTCCCTACCCTGATACCCCCAAAGCATGCTGACTAGTGCTGGGATCACTAAGTTACTAGGTTGATAAATTCAAGAAATAAATATTACTTCAGAAAGTCCAGAGGGCCACCAACAACAACCACCACCACCACCCACCCCAGAAAACAAAAAACCTTCCTACCTGCTGGCTGGCATTGAGAGAACAAAGCCAATGCTTCATTCTCTTAAAATTTAAGCTCCAGTAAAATATAAAGACTTTCTTCACAGGGCTCCATTGCACCAGATCCCTTCCTTAAAAATTCTTAAAAGATATGCAAGAAAAGACTGCCTCTCATTGAACCAATCCTCTTGCACTGTATGTCCCCCAGCTATCTCAGCTGCTGGAGTGGGAAGCTCCACCTGGAAGATGGGCAACCCCAAATCTGAACCCACGCCTGACTCTACACAGAAACAAGAGATGCAAACCAGTCCAGTTTGCATCACATGGTCTGCTCGTTCAACCCGAACTTAAGTTATTGTACTCTCGTTGACAAAGTGTTCATCCTCTCCTCAAGAATCCAGTCTCCACCATCAACCTTCACTCCACAGACTGTCCATGTCTCATCAGAGCATCCTGCCCAGAATGGCTACTCCAGGAACACACTCTTGGCAGATGCCTGAGGACAATGTCTCCTGGGGATATAGCCAGAGAGCCCTGCGAGGAAAAACTCAGAAGAAGTCAAGACATCCAGAGATGAAAAGCTGACTTGGCCACTTCCTAGCAATCACCTTAGGTGTGTGAGTTAAGCTCTACTGGCCCCTACTTCCCCAATGTGTATATATCACTCTCAACAGAGAAAAAGCACTGAACTGCCTAAGAATGGAAAACATGCTAGTAGCGACAGAGATAACCGCAGTGGGAATGAGGTCACCCGAGCTCAGGGTACTAGGCACATTACTTACACCCATATTTTATGTTGCGATGCTCCGCCCAACTGCAATGAAACACTTCACTAACTCCCTACAGGAGCGAGATCTGAGTATCTGATCCATCACCTGCTGCCTCTCTCTCTCTCTCTCTCTATCTATCTATTTATATATATATTCTCCCTTCCTCCCTAACATTCTCTTCTTCCCTCTCTGTTACTCTTTCAAAATGAACAAAACTTAAAAAAAAAATCCCCCCTCATATGTATGTAAAAACAAGTCCATATTTTAAAAAGGAGGTCTCTGATGAGATCCCAGTCCAGTCATTTAATACATGTTTTAACTAAATGCCAGTCAGCCATTTGCTCTACAATCCCAACCGATGGCAAAAAGAGCTATCACAAACAGTGCTTGCCAACACAGCACTGTGTATGGGCTAACAGATCTGGACTGTTCTTCCCACACAGAACTCCACTTGGAGCAGAGGACGCAGTCATTTCTTTCAAAGAGCAAGCAGGAAGAAGAATGAGTGGGACACAAACATGAAACGGGTGTCCTAGCAACTGTGTTTAACTACACCCAAGAAAGCTCACACGAGCAACTTCCTTCAATGAGAACACTCTGGAATGTAGCCTAACGCTGTAAGAGAAAAGGACTTTTGGGATCCTGGGAAGGGACATTTCACATGAAGGAGGTACATGACCCTTTGGCACCAAAGGTAGACTGGTGAGCAGCTTTCTAGAATGGCTCTCCTTGACTTCTCTCCTGGTATTCATGCCCCTTGTAAACTTCTTGAGTGTAATCTACGCTTACTAACTTCCTCTTGCCACTCAACCTGCCATAATATTAGCTACTCACTTCTACGGGTCCCCGCTGTCAACGCCCACTGTGCAAGGAAGCAAGGAAGAAACTTCCTGCCAGCCTGCAAAAATGAAACGCTGCCAACAATCACTTGGGTGGGCCAGGAAACAGCTCCACCTGCAGAAATGCCTTAAAAAGACTTAAATCTTCTCCCAGTCCTTGACTTGAGCCTTCTGAGAAGTCCAGCCACACCGGAAGCAGCTATGTCAGGTCTAAATCCCTAACCCAGAGAAACCATTGAGATAATAAATGGCATCAACTTAACTCACTAAATTGTGAAGTGATAAACAGCAATAGCTAATAGATAACCACACAGACTTTACCACTAAAAACATCATTTGAATAGTATAACAGATATTTAAAAACATTTGAAGGGAAATCAAAAAGGTATTTTAATCCCAGAAAATCACTTACAGACACACAGAGATAAGTGTTATTTCCTAAAAATTATAAAAGAAAAATCCTTTGAGTTGAATGTTTACCACAAACTTCTCTCACCTTGAATGCACTGAAGTGTTCCATCCTCTGCTCTGATTGTGAAAGTCTCACCTGGATTAACTTGAACGAGAATCACCTGCCAAAATAACAAAATTTCAACTTATTAAAACACTCGAGATTTTTCTTCAACTTTTATAATTCATGTGCTATACAGAAAGCAGGTACTACGGCATCTTGTATCAACACAAAAATCAAAAATAATTTTTTAAAAAGATCTATTTTTATTTAAAAGGTAGATTTACAGAGATAAGGAGAGAGAGAGAGAGAGAGAAGCAGAGATCTTCCTCTAGTTCACTCCCCAAATGACCACAGTGACAGAAGCTGCGCTGATCTAAGCCGGAAGCCAGGAATTGCCTCCAGGTCTCCCATGTAGGTGCAGGGGCCCAAGAATCTGAGCCATCTCATGCTGCTTTCCCACCCCATGAGCAGGAAGCTGGATCGAAAGAGGATCAAACACTAACTGGCACCAATATGGGATTGCCAGCACCACCGGTGGAGGATCAGCCCACTATGCTGACAGACCAGCCACAAAATTTTAAAAATGTAGCAATGGCTCAAATTAGGGGTGCACAGTAGATGCACGCCTGTGGATTAGCCAACTGAACCTTCCCATAACATCTATGATGATACATAATTTTTAAAATCTCAATTTGAAAACAAAATTTTCAGACTGTGCTTGTTAAGGAAAAGTGTACCCGGAAATGAGCTTTACCTAACACTTACTGCATTCTGTTCCCAAATGCTCAATGCTACCCTGAGCTATAGGATTCCACTGTGTAAAAAGAGAAAACAATATATAAAAAATACCTTGGGAAAAAGAAGTGCCTGTGAGTAGGATCTGGAAACAATATCAAACTATGTACAATAAATGAATAATAGTAGAAATAGGCTTCACTGAACACTCAAATGTTTAAAGAGGTTAATGAAACTATTTTAGAACATAAACATTTATATCAGATGACTTACTATTTAAGAGGGGCAATTGCAAAACAGCTTCTTTCAATAGCTTCAGTTTGGTTTCAAATCAAAAGATATCAACAAAACAAATAAAAATTACTAAGTTATATCTAATTACAAATGAAAGAACAAGATCCAAAGTTAGAAATAATAACTAAAGTTCATACAGTGCAAGATTATCACTATTAAAATATTTCATATTCCTAAAAATTGCCAGGCTGTGGGCATTCCATTTGTTTTCCAGTTCTTGGAGTGGTCCTTGCCCTCCTCTCAGATCTGCAGTGTTCTTCCTGCACCCTGGCCTGCAGTGCTTGTCCCACATCCTAGTTCCTCATCCCACGCCTTGGTCTGCACTGCTTATCCTGTGTCCTGGTCCACAGTGCTCATCACAACCTCTGATCTACAGCTTCCGTCCTAGCTCCTCGTCCCCAGTGCTCGACCGGGCCCTTAGTCCACAGCGCCCATCTCAGCCCCTAGTCCACTGGTGCCCAGTGCTCATCCCATCCCCCGGTCCACAGCACCCATCCTGTGTCCTGGTCCACAGTGCTTGTCCCAGCCCCTGGTGCCCGGTGTCATCCCATCCCCTAGTCCACAGCACCCAACCCAGCTTCTGGTCCTCAGTGCTCATCCCACACCCTGGTCCGCAGCACCCATCCGGGCCCCTTGTCTGCAGTGCTCCTTCCACCCCAAGGTCTATAGCACTCATCCTGCACCCTCTCATCTCGGCCCATCAGCTCCCTTACTGCTTCCTCACCAGCTAGTTGCTATTCATCCTTTTCCAATTAAGATGGGGTGTCTGCCTTCAGGACGGGGCAGGTCTCCTACATCACGCTCTGAGAAGATAAAATTACAAAGCACTCTACTGCTTCTTCCAGGAATTTACACTTACAACTCAATCCTTGCTGCTTTAACCTGGCTAGCCTGTGTCTAACAGTGAATAAACGCTCAATGCCTTTGTTTAATGAAGGGATGACAGTCATAAAATATTAGGAAAAGTCACTGCAAACAATTATTTTCACTAAAAACTCAAGTCTTCATGAGATACAATTTAAAAGTCAACTTTATTTATTGTATACACTATAATGTATGTGTTTTGGAAATTACTGAGATCTGAGCCATTTTATCTTTAAAAACTAGACCTTATTTTACTGCTCCAAATAATTTACCACAGGAGACACTGCTGAGATATCAATTTTTTTTTTTTAAAGAAAGGAAGCATATTAACTGGAAAAAAAAAAATACAGGCTTGTTCGGGCAAAAATGTTAATCCCTGGTGCTCCTCATTATCTGGAACTGTAAGTTTTTTCAAGGCAATTGACTTTTTTCCTGCACAATAACTGTGTCAATAATCCTTCAGTCAGCAGTATTCAGATCCCCATGTGACCCTGGAGGCCACCATCAGGACTGCCAAGGAAGTCCACTGGCTCTTGACAGTGATGAAAACATAGCCATCTCTTTCTTGAAACTGAGCTGTTAAAGGCATCCCTTCAACATACCTATCATTTGAGTTACCTTTATTTTTATATAAATACAGACCATAATTCAGTTATAATGGAATTCAGCAACATTTCAAATGGAAATTTATCCATGTCTTCTTAGTCCTTAGTTCAGTTCCAGCGTCACTGCTCTCAGGGCAAAAATCCTTCTCTTTGCTTAAACACCCAGGGATAGGGTTTATGTATGCCTATGAAAGAACTACTGAAGGGGAAAACAGCAATCAATAGACACCAAGACTTCAGGGCCCAGATTCTCTTTGACAGTCTCGAATTCATATTCTCTCTTCCAACATACTCCTAATTTGCATACTACACACACAGAATTGTCAGTTCTAAAAATGCAATTCACCAGTTATGAAAAGTCATGGGCAAAACCACAGGATTTCTGAACTGGTATATGCTACAGACTGTCAGAGCATCTGCTTACTATATTGCAGGAAAAGTGTCTGTCACGGGTTCTTGGTAGCCACCAACACCGAGACACACTCAAAGTAAGGCTGCGGGAGGAGTGAGGGGTGAGCAGTTAAGCTCCAGAGTGCACTGGCCTTCCCCCTCAGCTTACTGAGTTCAATTCCTGACCCAGGCCCCAACCCCCCTTGGTTCTTCAGGGAGAAAGATGATAGGCAGCAAAGGGCTTTTAAGCATCCTACTAAAATACCTTTCTTTAAATGTTTTCTTCAGGTAATGTTCAGGGCTGCTGAGTTGCTGTGGCAACCAGATTATAATCTACAAGGTTACCTCAGAAACCAGGCAAATCTCCTGTGTCCCAATACCAATTTTTCTTTGTAAGAGCAAAGCCATTACTTGAATAAGCCATATTCATCCAGGCTCTAACTAAGACATTTCCAAAGAAAGTACTTCATTATCCTGTGGGGGCAGGGAGGGGAACCACCTTGCTGTTTCCACTGCCAACAGACAAAAGAGTTCTGACACACCAGAGCGCAGTGGCCTGTCTGGGCAATGGACAAAAAGGAGCCCCCTAAGGCCCCAGGAGCCACAGCAGCAGGTCTTGCATCAGGGACTCTTGGGGAACCTGAGTTACATCCTGTCAGATGGGCAGGACTGACCCACTTAACCTTTTGTGTCATTCAGATTGGTCACTCTGGCTCTCCCTCCCTTCCGCAAGGCAACCACAAAGCAGACAAAACTGTAGCAAGTTCTCTTAAAGGGACAAGTTAAAACAACATCACTACACAAACCTCATCATTTCTGGCCCACATGCTAAGCATTTCCTGCTTTGCCACAGTCAGCATTAAACCCTTTCATGCTGCACCCTATGTGCTCAGAAGAGCGGCGGAGAGGGGGATATATTTTTGCTCCCAAGAGATGTTGGAACAGAATCATGCTAATGGAATCATAGGAGCACACTTCAGGCTACTACTGCTACATCAGATCTGTTCCAAATCCATTAGTGCTACCTGAACCAAGACGCCTAAAAGGATCCACAACCTCATGAAAAATAAGGAACCATCCAAAGTCAAAGAAAACAATAAAACAAGAGTCAGAATAAAGACGAGTGAAGAAACAGCTCGACACAGCATCTTGGAAAGGCTTCAGCCAGCAGAGAACTCACACAAGGTGGGACAGAGCTGCTCTCCCAGGAACCAATCCCAAATGACCCTGGTTTTACTCAGGGAGAGAGAAAAGGGAATGCCACAAGCGAGAGGCAAAGTAAACTTTGTGAGGCTGGCAAACCAGAAGATCAGAGGAGTATCCAAGACTGTGCCTGGAGGCAAGTTTCTCATTTATGCCTCAAAGTAAAGGTCACCAGCCACGTGGACTAAGCAGTCGGTGCAGTGAATCAGTCCAAACAGGAACTTCTGCTGGGAGACGGCCTGGATCACCTGCAGATGAACCTGTGCAGTGCTACAGATGGTGAAGTCCAAGCCTCAGACAGATCAGGTACAAGCCATGAGCGGGAGGGGGATCCACTTGACAATGAGGGCTTCCTTACCAGGCTGCACGTGGTGGGGCTACTCTTCGCGCTTGCATTTTGCAACCAATATTTATGACTGCGGCTGTCCAAACAATGGCTTCAAAAGGAAGAAAATGATTAACCTAAAAGCTGCACAAGAGTCTTCAGATACATAATGATTCTAGGAAGGAGAATCTCAGAGCTTTTTAAGAAGTGACCCATGACTGCAAGAGAGGTGCAGCAGCACCTGCCCCTGGTGCTGTGGGTTTCTTCAGACATAAAACATCACACACACACACACACACACACACACACCCCAGATTCCCAAACTCCAAACTGTTTCCAAGCTGCCAGGTCTACGCTACCATTCCTGCACACCCTAAAATCCTACAGTTTGAGTCAGAGATCATACTGGCCTTAGGAAAAATTGAGAGGTAAAAAAAAAAAAAAAATCACCATTTTCTTACTCCAAATGAAAGAGAGAGAATGATAGTTTACAAACGCTCACATTAACACACAGGAAAATGTCTCAGGATTCCAACTACACAGACAAAGGGGAAGTAATGATTTTCTCATCCTGCATACCCTTTTTATCCAAAAGCTGAACTCAAATCCGGCAGGAAGACAATACTGAAACCCAGGCCAACCAACAGCAGCAGCACAGACAACACACATGGCACACGAAGCTCTTGCTTCATCAACGCAAAC